GATAAGAAATACGACCATCACTCACAGGGAAGTGCATCATTATTCCTTGCATTTAGATCTCTAGCTGGCCAGTGTAGGGTCGAGGTTTCAGGCAGGTGTTGTGTTGTGATCCATCTACAGTAATTAAATGGTAAGTGGTAATACAAATTTCTCTTGTGTACCCAGCAAGACTAATCATATGTATTCCACAATTTTAATTTATCAGAGTAGCTGGTTTTAATATTGTATTTAATAATTTAATGTCAGGTCTACCTTTTTGTGAGAGTGGCGAAGAAGTGGGCATCGTGGGAGTGACAGTTCGGTGACCTACTGTGACTTAATCCCACTTATCTCACCCACATTACTTGCACGTAATAATTCAGTTAATACCCAATAAACCTCATGCAGGTAATTTACTCACATAATAATAATTCACAAAAAGTTATGATGAAATTACCAAAAAACTAAGAATGCCTACACTAACTGCTACCAGGAAAAGAGAAGACATAATAACCACATATGTCATACAAGGACATGGAAGAGTAGATCAAGAAGATTGATTTGTACCTGGAACAGAATAACAAAGAAACTACAGTTGTAAACTGAGGAAAAAGTGGAGCAGAAGAGATATTGTAATTTTTTCTTTTCAAAGTGGTTGACCAGTGAAATTATTTAACAAAAGCAGCAGCAAGTGCTATAACCTTTGGAGAGTTTGAAAAAAAAATATTTGCTGGACAAATTGTTATTGAAGACGGCAAACCTCAGCATAACATTACTAATGTTAATAATTGTACATACACACGAGAGCTGTGAATCGACCCCTGCAGCCACATACAGGTGAGCGTTCCGGTACCTCAGTAAGGAATCGTTCAAGACTTTATACACTGTGTACGTCAGGCCCATACTGGAGTACGCAGCACCAGTTTGGAACCCACACCTGGGCAAACACGTCAAGAAATTAGAGAAAGTGCAAAGGTTTGCAACAAGGCTAGTTCCAGAGCTAAGGGGAATGTCCTATGAAGAAAGGTTAAGGGAAATCGGTCTGACAACACTGGAGGACAGGAGGGTCAGGGGAGACATGATAACGACATACAAAATACTGCGTGGAATAGACAAGGTGGACAGAGACAGGATGTTCTAGAGAGAAACAAGGGGTCACAATTGGAAGCTGAAGACTCAGATGAGTCAAAGGGATGTTAGGAAGTATTTCTTCAGTCATAGAGTAGTTAGGAAGTGGAATAGTCTGGCAAACGATGTAGTGGAGGCAGGAACTATTCATAGTTTTAAGACGAGGTATGATAAAGCTCATGGAGCAGGGGGAGAGATGACCTAGTTGCGGTCGGTGAAGAGGCGGGGCCAGGAGCTGAGTATCGACCCCTGCAACCACAATTAGGTGAGTACACACACACATACACACACACACAAGCACCAGACGGGACTGAGTTCGATGTTACTTTGTTGATAATGTAAAACTAATGAGGAGAATAAAAACAGTCGAGGAACGATAACGGCTACATATGGATCTAAATAAACTGCAAGAGATCACCTACGTGGTTGCTTGAATTCAACCTCAGCAAATGCAAGGTTACGAAGACTGGGAAAGGGGCTAGAACACCGGAAACCTAGTATAGACTCGGGGGACAGACTGCAGACTTCACTCAGACACCTAAGTGACAGAGACTCATATCAACGGAATGATCTCCACACCCAATGTTCGCCTGGTAAATAAAAAAAAAAGTGACCTCCAGGAATTTTAACAGAGTCATTTTGGGCCCTTTATATAGCTTTTCTCAGGCCCATCTTGCAGTATGCAGCACCACACTTGAGAAAACATGCTAAGAAACTGGAGAGAGTGCAGTGGCGTGCAACGAGGCCTGTTCCAGAACTAAGGTGTATGTATTAGCTGTGAAGAGAGACTTTCGGAATTGAATCTAACGACACTGAAGAACAGAAGAACCAGGAAAAACATGATAACACCATACAGAATACTGAGAGGAATTCATAGGGTAAACATAGGCTAGTTGAAAAGCGGAAAACAGGTGTTAGGGGGCACAACTGGAAATTAAAGACACAGCTGAACAACAGGGATGTCTGGATTTTTTTTTCAGTCTCAGGATGGTTGAGGAAATGGTGGAAACAGACCTCATACATAGTTTTAAGAACAATTATGATAGAGCCCGTAAGGCTATGAGGGAGAGCTGGGGCAGGAGCTAGGACCCCACTTCTGTGCCCACATAAAAGTACATATAGGTAAGTACACAGCGTCACCTCCAAGGCCACAAATATCAAAACCTCCCTTCAAGGTAGTTAGTGGTTTGATGTTGGTGAATGGCTTATAATCCGTGTAACTAAAGTCATCCCCACTTCCTTGGAGCAAACCTGCTTAACCCTCATCCCCTACCCTTGTCATATTCTTACTATGTAACTTTAGGTGTCCCGTAGCTCGATTGCTAACGCACTCAGCTCACACACTGAGGTCCGTGGTTCGATCTCAGGTATGGATGGAAACATTAGGACGTGTTTCCTTAAGACACCTGCTGTCCCTGCCCACCTGTCAGTAAATTAAGTATTTACCTGGAGTTTACCTGGTGAGAGTTCCGGGGGTCAACGCCCCCGCGGCCCGGTCTGTGACCAGGCCTCCTGGTGGATCAGAGCCTGATCAACCAGGCTGTTGCTGCTGGCTGCACGCAAACCAACGTACGAGCCACAGCCCGGCTGATCAGGAACTGACTTTAGGTGCTTGTCCAGTGCCAGCTTGAAGACTGCCAGGGGTCTGTTGGTAATCCCCCTTATGTGTGCTGGGAGGCAGTTGAACAGTCTCGGGCCCCTGACACTTATTGTATGGTCTCTTAACGTGCTAATGACACCCCTGCTTTTCATTGGGGGGATGGTGCATCGTCTGCCAAGTCTTTTGCTTTCGTAGTGAGTGATTTCGTGTGCAAGTTCGGTACTAGTCCCTCTAGGATTTTCCAGGTGTATATAATCATGTATCTCTCCCTCCTGCGTTCCAGGGAATACAGGTTTAGGAACCTCAAGCGCTCCCAGTAATTGAGGTGTTTTATCTCCGTTATGCGCGCCGTGAAAGTTCTCTGTACATTTTCTAGGTCGGCAATTTCACCTGCCATGAAAGGTGCTGTTAGTGTGCAGCAATATTCCAGCCTAGATAGAACAAGTGACCTGAAGAGTGTCATCATGGGCTTGGCCTCCCTAGTTTTGAAGGTTCTCATTATCCATCCTGTCATTTTTCTAGCAGATGCGATTGATACAATGTTTATGGTCCTTGAAGGTGAGATCCTCCGACATAATCACTCCCAGGTCTTTGACGTTGGTGTTTCGCTCTATTTTGTGGCCAGAATTTGTTTTGTACTCTGATGAAGATTTAATTTCCTCGTGTTTACCATATCTGAGTAATTGAAATTTCTCATCGTTGAACTTCATATTGTTTTCTGCACCCCACTGAAAGATTTGGTTGATGTCCGCCTGGAGCCTTGCAGTGTCTGCAATGGAAGACACTGTCATGCAGATTCGGGTGTCATCTGCAAAGGAAGACACGGTGCTGTGGCTGACATCCTTGTCTATGTCGGATATGAGGATGAGGAACAAGATGGGAGCGAGTACTGTGCCTTGTGGAACAGAGCTTTTCACCGTAGCTGCCTCGGACTTTACTCTGTTGACGACTACTCTCTGTGTTCTGTCAGTGAGGAAATTATAGATCCATCGACCGACTTTTCCTGTTATCCTTTAGCACGCATTTTGTGCGCTATTACGCCATGGTCACACTTGTCGAAGGCTTTTGCAAAGTCTGTATATATTACATCTGCATTCTTTTTGTCTTCTAGTGCATTTAGGACCTTGTCGTAGTGATCCAATAGTTGAGACAGACAGGAGCGACCTGTTCTAAACCCATGTTGCCCTGGGTTGTGTAACTGATGGGTTTCTAGATGGATGGTGATCTTGCTTCTTAGGACCCTTTCAAAGATTTTATGATATGGGATGTTAGTGCTATTGGTCTGTAGTTCTTTGCTGTTGCTTTACTGCCCCCTTTGTGGAGTGGGGCTATGTCTGTTGTTTTTAGTAACTGTGGGACGACCCCCCGTGTCCATGCTCCCTCTCCATAGGATGGAAAAGGCTCGTGATAGGGGCTTCTTGCAGTTCTTGATGAACACAGAGTTCCATGAGTCTGGCCCTGGGGCAGAGTGCATGGGCATGTCATTTATCGCCTGTTCGAAGTCATTTGGCGTCAGGATAACATCGGATAGGCTTGTGTTAATCAAATTTTGTGGCTCTCTCATAAAAAAATCATTTTGATCTTCGACTCTCAGTCTGGTTAGCGGCTTGCTAAAAACTGAGTCATATTGGGACTTGAGTAGCTCACTCATTTCCTTGCTGTCATCTGTGTAGGACCCATCTTGTTTAAGTAGGGGCCCAATACTGGACGTTGTTCTCGATTTTGATTTGGCATAGGAGAAGAAATACTTTGGGTTTCTTTCGATTTCATTTATGGCTTTTTAGTTTCTTCCCGCGATTCCTGACTCCTAAAGGATTCTTTTAGCTTAAGTTCGATGCTTGCTATTTCTCTGACCAGTGTCTCCCTACGCATTTCAGATATATTGACCTCTTTTAGCCGCTCTGTTATTCTTTTCCGTCGCCTGTAAAGGGAGCGCCTGTCTCTTTCTATTTTACATCTACTCCTCCTTTTTCTTAGAGGAATAAGCCTTGTGCATACATCGAGTGCCACCGAGTTAATCTGTTCTAGGCATAAGTTGGGGTCTGTGTTGCTTAGTATATCTTCCCAGCTTATATCGGTATCTGGGTGTTAATCGACAAGCAGCGTTATTATTATTACTATTCTTGTTTTACTATTATGTAAGATAGGGTAGCACCATAGCAGCACATTGCTGATGTATCCAGTTTTGTTAAAAAAAAAAAAATTCCTGTCTGTGAATGACACTTGGTGGTTAGTGCTTCCCATTGAATATATCTATAACCAGGATAGTAATTAACATGTACGTACCCGGCAGGTGTTAGACCATTATAAGTACGGCTACAACGTACAGTCCAAGGACACCGGCAACTACCACGCTCGTTACGAGGCCAGAGATGGTAGCACTGTCAGCGGCTCCTACCAGGTCAGTCCTCAAGATATACACAAACTGCAGATTTTATTGCCACAACGTTTCGCTCTGTGCAGATATTTAGAATCAACAAGTCATATTTTGATAAAGTTCTAGACAGAGCGAAACGTTATCCCAAACAACAGCTCGTTCTGCAACGTTTCTTTTCTGTAAGTCCTGCTTACTAGCTGGTGCTTCATGCAGCTGAGGTGACTGACGATACTCTATGATGTGTATTGTTAAATGACAAGAAGGAACTACAAAGTATGTTGCAATCACCACAGTGAATTGCAAATTGAACGCTTGAACGATTTCATGCAACCAACCACACATCTTCACATTATTATTATTATTATTATTATTATTATTATTATTATTATTATTATTATTATTATTATTATTATTATCAGCAGAAGCAACAGCAGCATATTTATAAGAAACGTTAAATTGTGAGTGATCCAGCACAAAGAGCTGTGAAGGCTCGATCCTCTGATTGCTAATCGCGAAATGCACACATTCTTACTGATCTGTGGATGTGTATTTGGTCACATGAGAGTGCTCTAGCATTGCATTTACAATTTACTCTAGTTTTTCCTTTATATGTGAATAAATAATTACGATAATGGGTGTAAATATATGAATTGTGAAAGTTCCAAGCACCAAGTATGACCAGAGTGCAGCCAGCTTACCTGTTGCTGGTCGGTTGCTTGGTTAATTGGATTTGAAGCCTATCGACTACACTAGGGTCATTAAGGCTGCATGTGACCTGTTCACCATTAGTCAAGAATACTTTTATCCCTAAAATAGGGATTAAAGTAAAATCGAGGTATTTGTTCACTGAGAGACATACACCTCTCGGTGTACATGTATCTTTCCTGCCACCGTTACTGTGTGTTTACAAGTGGTATTAACTTAAACTCTCACCAACAGGTGGCACTGCCTGACGGGCGGGTGCAGGTGGTCACCTACGTGGCTGATGACGAGGGATTCAGGGCAGAGGTCAACTACGAAGGCGAGGAGAACACGCCCACCAAGAAGTCGAGTGTGGACGTAGAGGTCCCATGGGAGCACCCCAAACCCCAGGTCACCCGTCAATCCCACGCAAACTCGACCTACGCCCCCGCCCGCCCACGTCCTTCCCTCCCTCCTGCTCACTCACTCCCGCAAACGACCATTTCTCAGCCCACCCATGCAGCTTTCGCTCCACTGACGGGGCATAATATACACTTCGACGACCTGGTGGAGACTGCCTCCCCTAATCCCTTCAGACTGGTAGTAGAGCGTGGACGAGCATCCACCCTGGCCCCGCCACCCGTTCACACCACACCCACAACCCTTCCCGCCCACTCCCTCAAATCACCCTCCACTCTGTCCGCCTACACACTGGCCAACGATGTTACGGAGGAGCTGAACGATACGCCCACCACGCCTCACCCACCCTCGACCAATGCCCACACTATCACACCCTCTCACACGGCCTTCCAAAGCTCTACGCCCTCACACACGCCCGTATACCAGTACAAAGCCAAGGACAGTATAGACACGACCCTGTACAGCCCTGATGCTGTTGCTTACATCACAGCCCTAGGCAGGTCCCACATGGTACCTGTTCTCCTGCCTTACACACCTCCCCCACACCAAGCACGCCCGCCCCCACCCACTCCACTCACACACCAAGCACGCCCACCCACCCCACGTCCACACTCCACCATCACCCACCCACAGCACAACATCCTACCCTCGCCGCCCAAGACCTATTACCTGACCCGTAGGTCTCGCGCCCACACCCTCAGTGGGGAGAGAGAGAGCGTAGAGATACTTAGAGGTGATGACCGGCGCCCACGACTCAGTCTCAGAATCCCAGCACCTCACGAGACTGACATATATCCAGCACCTTCACCTATATATCATCTCTAACTATATAAAATACGGTGTTCTGAAGCTCTTTCACCTATATAGTAAGTTATTTAGGTATAGGTACACAAATATCTGGAGTTTACCTGGAGAGGCTTTCGGGGGGTCAACGCCCCCGCGGCTCGGTCTGAGACCAGGCCTCATAGTGAATCAGGGGCTGATCAACCAGGCTGTTACTGCTGGCCGCACGCAAACTGACGTACGAACCACAGCCCGGTTGGTCAGGTACTGACTTTAGGTGCCTGTCCAGTCATATATAATATATGTGTAAATTACCTAGGACTTATTTCCATCTCTGTGTGTTCTGCATCACCTCCACCTATATACAATGCAAAGCAGGGGTGCCGTGGGCACACTAAGAGAAAACACCATAAGTGTCAGAGGCCCAGAGACAGACAGTATAATAACCTATGTGACATGTCAAGATATCTTATTAATGAAAATAAGATACCAGATATACTAAGCAAATTTCCTAAATTTGCTTGTAACAGATAAGTGAACTATAGATATGTAGATATAAATCCATATGTATTCCTGTTAACCCTTTGGGGCCTAATTCCTAGGCCTTTTGTGTATCCATATGCTCTCGCGCTACCGTCCAAAGGATGGATATGGGGTGCACAATAAACTAGCCACTTCGGTGGCAAAATCTAAATCCCAGGACTGTTCAACAGCCTTCCCTCATACATAAGGGGGATTACCAATAGACCCCTGCCTGTTTTCAAGAGGAAATTGGAGAGATACCTTAAGTCAGTGTCTGACCAGCTGGGCTGTGGTTTGTACGTTGGATTGCATGAGGTCAGCAATAACAGCCTGGTTGATCAGGCCCTGTGATCCATCGGGAAGCCTGGTCATAGACCGGGCCGCGGGGGCGTTAACCTCCGGGAAAACCCTCCAGGTAAATACATATACCATCTCTATCTTAAACATAGTTCTGCTTGTAGATAAATGGTTCAGAGAACCGACTAGTTGATAAATTAGACACATGTGTAACACTTGGGTATCTTTATTGAGGAAACGTTTCGCCACACAGTGGCTTCATCAGTCCATGAAAAGGAGAATGGTGAAGGATAGGAAGAATTTGAGGTAATCAGTCCCTCAGCGTTGAGTCGATGTAATCGGTCCATCAATGGACCGATTACACACACCGACTCAAGGCTAGTTAGTTTAATATGTTTATTATGCACCCCATACCCATCCTGTGGGCGGTAGTCAAAAGATTACAGAGGTACATAATTGGTCCAGGGACTGGACTCCAAAGTTTTGATAGCTGAGCAAGTTACAGAGGTAATGAACTCACTCAAGGCTGAGGGACTGATTACCAAAAATTCCTCCTGTTCTTCACCGTTCTCCTTTGTATGGACTGATGAAGCCACTGTGTGGCGAAACGTTTCCTCAATAAAAATACCCAAGTGTTGCACATGTGTCTAATTTATCAACAGTTCTGCTTCTTCAGTCGAATATAGATGGATGTAAGAGTGGAGGCTGCAGTAGTAGTGTTGACTGACCGAGTCCGTCAGCCTTGGTAGGTGCTGACGGCCTCTAACCTGGAGGGTCTCACAACCTTCCACCAAGACTGACGGACTAATCACGACATAACTATTTCTTCTACATCTACCTGTGTCTACGGGTTTAACGCTCACCCCCTTGAGTATAATAATACGTCTTGTAAGTGTTACACGATCAGTAATTATGAAACTTGTTAAATTATGAGAACGTTTTCAAGGTGCAATATTTGAAGGATTTCTTCCCTTTAATTTATGTAGATTTTTATAGTATATATATATATATATATATATATTAATATATATATATATATATATATATATATATATATATATATATGGAGTGGAGGTATATATTAGGGTAGTGTATATGATGGTGTATAGTATTATTGTATTATGTATTGACGTGATTTTAAGTGTGTCCAGGTATTTTTTATATTAAAAATAAAAGTCAGTTTGCATGAGGCCTTTTTCTCCCCACGAAATAAAAAAAATGTGGTTTTAAAATTTTTAATTTTATGGTTTTTAATATAAAAGTTATTGCTGCAATTTATATAGATACTGACCCTTCGATGTAGGGTTCTTGATCTGAGGAACCGGATCTACCCTTCCTCGGATCAAACCTGATTACTTCCCTCGAAATAATAATATTAATAAAAATTATTAAAAAACTGCACTCCATCCATAGCTATATACATCACATATACAGGGGTGGGAGACGGCCGACTTGTTGAAAAAAAAAATATATATATATATAACAGGAATAACAGGAAAAGTCGGTCGATGGATCTATAATTTCCTCACTAACAGAACACAGAGAGTAGTCGTCAACAGAGTAAAGTCCGAGGCAGCTACGGTGAAAAGCTCTGTTCCACAAGGCACAGTACTAGCTCCCATCTTGTTCCTCATCCTCATATCCGACATAGACAAGGATGTCAGCCACAGCACCGTGTCTTCCTTTGCAGATGACACCCGAATCTGCATGACAGTGTCTTCCATTGCAGACACTGCAAAGCTCCAGGCGGACATCAACCAAATCTTTCAGTGGGCTGCAGAAAACAATATGAAGTTCAACGATGAGAAATTTCAATTACTCAGATATGGTAAACATGAGGAAATTAAATCTTCATCAGAGTACAAAACAAATTCTGGCCACAAAATAGAGCGAAACACCAACGTCAAAGACCTGGGAGTGATCATGTCGGAGGATCTCACCTTCAAGGACCATAACATTGTATCAATCGCATCTGCTAGAAAAATGACAGGATGGATAATGAGAACCTTCAAAACTAGGGAGGCCAAGCCCATGATGACACTCTTCAGGTCACTTGTTCTATCTAGGCTGGAATATTGCTGCACACTAACAGCACCTTTCAAGGCAGGTGAAATTGCCGACCTAGAAAATGTACAGAGAACTTTCACGGCGCGCATAACGGAGATAAAACACCTCAATTATTGGGAGCGCTTGAGGTTCCTAAACCTGTATTCCCTGGAACGCAGGAGGGAGAGATACATGATTATATACACCTGGAAAATCCTAGAGGGACTAGTACCGAACTTGCACACGAAAATCACTCACTACGAAAGCAAAAGACTTGGCAGACGATGCACCATCCCCCCAATGAAAAGCAGGGGTGTCACTAGCACGTTAAGAGACCATACAATAAGTGTCAGGGGCCCGAGACTGTTCAACTGCCTCCCAGCACACATAAGGGGGATTACCAACAGACCCCTGGCAGTCTTCAAGCTGGCACTGGACAAGCACCTAAAGTCAGTTCCGGATCAGCCGGGCTGTGGCTCGTACGTTGGTTTGCGTGCAGCCAGCAGCAACAGCCTGGTTGATCAGGCTCTGATCCACCAGGAGGCCTGGTCACAGACCGGGCCGCGGGGGCGTTGACCCCCGGAACTCTCTCCAGGTAAACTCCAGGTATATATATATATATATATATATATATATAATATATTTATATATATATATATATATATATATATATATATATATATATATATATATATATAGAATATATATATAGTATTTTTTTTTTATAAAAAAAAATATTCTTTCAACACACCGCCGTATCCCACCGAGGCGGGGTGGCCCAAATGGAAAAACGAAAGTTTCTCCTTTTACATTTAGTAATATATACAGGAGAAGAGGTTACTAGCCCCTTGCTCCCGGCATTTTAGTGCCTCTTACAACACGCATGGCTTACGGAAGAAGAATTCTGTTCCACTTCCCCATGGAGATAAGAGGAAATAAACAAGAATAAGAACTAGAAAGAAATAGAAAAAAAAACCCAGAGGGGGTGTGTTTTTTGTGCTTGTACATGTATGTTTTTAGTGGCCCTAAGTTATGTAAAAAGTAGCAAGTGTTTTAAAAATCTTAAATGTTCATGAGCAGAAAAAAAGGACACCAGCAATTCCCATTATGTAAAACAATTACGGTTTCGTTTTACCTCACTTGGGGACGGTGTACCCTCCCGGGTGGTTGCTGTCCCCCAGCCTACTACCCAGAATATTATATATATATATATATTTTATTTTTTTATATAATATTAATTTTTTTATATATATATTTATTAATATTATATTATATATATATATATCCTAATAAATCACTTGCTCTGATTTTTCCATGGGCGAAAAGGAAAATATATAAAGAAACTAATTCTAAAATGCAAAAAAAAAAATTCTTGATGTGACAAATCGTTTTAAGGGATTATTTTTTTTAAATTTTTTTCCAGACATTTTCTCTCAATTTAATATTATCATGACCTCGACTGCTCGTACCTAGGGACATGCAAATGAATGAGTGAGGGGAAAGACCGTAACAAGAAACCTGCTAAAATAATGACCTAGTGACCCTCGCCCGTCCTCCCCCAAACAACCTTGTAGAAGGAAAGTTCTTCCACAAAGACCTGAACAATTTCCTTGCCTAGTGCATGGGATGCAGGTCGCGTGCTGCTGCGTCCTGCTTTTTAGCCACACCTTGTTGACTTGGTCGGGTGCTGCTGCTTCCTGCTTTGTAGCCACACCTTGTTGACTTGGCTTATAAAGCAACGTAAAGGACCACCAAAGACCTTAATGGAAATACATTACTCTGATGGCTTTTTTGGGGGGGAGGGTATCATAGGTTCTCTGCATATATGCTGTTATGTATGATAATCAATGTAACTGTATTTGTGTGTACCTGAATAAATTTATTTACGTAAGGCAGTGATTTGGGTGCTTGGCTCACAAACGAGAGGACGTGGGGTCGAACCCTACCACCTGCTACTTAGGAGTTAGTGGATTCTCGTGGGTCGCATCCTGGAAAATAAACTAAAATGGACACTAGTGAAAATAATACACACTGATAATCTTTCTTGGCTTATCTTAGTTAGTTGTGTAAGCTAAGCTGCTAGTTTACTGTACACTTCATGCTTACCCTGTGAGCGGTAGCTCTAAAATTAGGATTACAGAGGTAACAATGAGTCTATCAGACACCACCGAGCAGTGTTACATTACTTGAAAGAAGTATTAGTATTTTTTTATTTTACAGTTACTTCATATATTTAATGTACACAGTACAGTATGGAGTACAGTCTCATTCAATGTACGTCTTATTACCATTAAGAAACATTAGTCCTATTTGGGTTGCAATGACCTCTATAAAAATCATTCATTCATCTAGTCGATGCAAAATGTGGATACAGCCTCAAAACTGCAGATATTTATCATTAACGGGATTTTTTTTTTTTGTCCTGCCGCCTGAGTTGCTAGTTCATTTTTGCACCCCGTGCTCACCCTGTGAGCGGTTGTATGGAGGTGTTTCTGGAAGGTTGGATGTTTGGACACTAAGATATAATGCTACAGTGTACGGCCTTGTCTCTATCCACACACTTTACATTTTATATCACTGAAATCTCCATACAAACGGTACTGCCAGAGATACTTATAGCCTAGCCTTAGTCTAGCAGTAACATCTTACAATGAAGGTTATGCGAATATTCAACAGTTTTAAAGAGAAGTCGGTAGAGAGGTATAGGTGTCCAGCTCTGTTGGAACTTAGACAAGGTAGTCCACCTGACCTACTAATGAACTTGTTCCTGTTTCTATTTTCGAAGGGAAGCGCTGTTTCCTTTTATTGCCCAGCTTCAAGGAAAATTTCTTCCCTGGTACCGGGAACCTGGGCTCAATACCTATCAGTACAATAGGTACCTTGGTTTTAGTCGACTGGTGTGAGTCGCATCCTGGAGACAAAATTAACTTAATTTGCCCGAAATACTCTTCTATATAGTAGTATGTCACTGATGTCAGCTAGGCCTGTATACCTTGTACAGGTACTTTTTTGGGTTATCCTAGGTTCTCTACACATATGCTGCTATGTATGATAATTCTTTGTAACTGTATTTATGTATACCTGAATAAACTTACTTACTTACTTACTATTATTATTATTATTATTGGTATTATAATACACCCTCCAAGTGGGACCCTCATCCCCAGAGAAAAGAATAAACTTGCTTCAGGGAAAACTCAAGGTTCTCCCTGAAGCTGTTTGAGAATTTTCTCCTGCCACCCCCTATATTTAATTATATATATTTTATTTAAGGACAAAATACATTAACAAAACATTCACAAAGATACAATAGAAAGTAAAACAACATAGGTAACTCAGAGCTACATCTCGAATACTTCGTCCAGCTCCCCGGCGGTGGGCTGCGTGCCCAGAATGCTGCAGGCATTTCCTCTCTGGATCGCAACACTGAGTCTCTGAAAGAGGAAGCTGGTCGCCCTGTGGTCCTTGGTTTCTATGATGAGCTTTTCATCCAGCTCTTTGAGGAACTTTAGAGCACACTTTCCCCATGCTCCAAGGGTCTCCGACCCTATTAGGATGAAGTTATAGCAAGGGGGAAGGTCTTCATATTTGTGGATCTTCTGGGTCTCCCTGTGGCTGGCAGCTCCACCCCCTTCCACTATGGAGTATGGCAAGTAGGTGTCTGCCAATGTGGTGGCACAGGTGTAGTCTCAGGCAATCTGCTTTCCATCCTTCCGAGGTAGCATAGTGGCTCCATCAGGACGCTTTTGACTTCCGTCAGACCTCTGCACTTGGGGTTCCCGTTGAGCTAGGCAACGGGCTGTGGCGAGGCTTCTCTTTATGATGTCATTGACCTCCTCATGCCTGGCATACTTCCCTTCTGCTGTGTGATACACGAGAACCATGAAGTTCGAATTGATCAGCTGTCGCCCTGCCGCAAATACACCTATGTTCGGTGAGGATAGGGGTGGCTAGGTGAAGAGCAACACCAATCCGAATGGCCTGTGGGTCTAGTCGAATGCCCAAGGAGGAATTGGGAACAGCTAACAGGAAATCTCCTGAGTGTGGTGCCTTCACTGCCAGGAGACGAGCTTTGTCCTTTCCTGAGGCGTTGGAGAGCATTGTGTCAGCTATTTTTTCCATGATCGGTTTGTTCCAGTGGGACTGTTTGTGTTCTTTGGGAGGAGCTGGTCTACTGGAGGAATCTGTAAGGGTGTCCCACCGAATAGCTGCTTCAGTAAACCTGGGGTCTTGAGCTCCTACCACATCTCTCAAGCGTTCGGGAACAATCTTCTTGACTAATGCACTGGAAGCCAAACACGAAGACAGAAAAGCAGGTAAAGCAACATGCGTTGCTTTGCGCACCCCTATACCTCCCAGTCGCACTGGGAGGGTTGCCTGATCCCATTGCTGATCCTCTAGTGACAGGTTCAGTGCCTTCTTAAAGGTTGACCTCAGGTGTGCGTCATATTCGTCGAGTGTTGGGTTGTAAAAAGAGGGTGCACACCTCAGGAAGTAAGTGAGTCTTGGAATATAAGGCCCTTGTGAGGAGATACAGAGCATCATGTGTCATCAAGATTTCTTATTCTCTCCTCCATTCTCATCAGGTCATTCAATTTGTCCTTCAGGACGGCTTGTCATGGCCTGGTGCCCCAGTGGTGCTCCCGAAGGTACTGTGGACGGAGTGGAAAGTAGAGGGACTTTCTGGGAGGATTCCTTCGCACCAGCATTGATTATTTCCTGGTTCGCCGTGATGATTTCACACTTGGAGGGATTGAGGATGAGTCCCAAGTCTTCTCCCTGTGTTTTCACCAGTTGTAGGTCCCCTACCAGGGACTCTCCAGTACCTGCCAGAGTGCCATCATCCAGGTACCAGTTTGTAGATGAATGGTTCAGAGAACCGACATGTTGATAAATTAGACACATGTGCAACTCTTGGGTATCTTTATTGAGGAAACGTTTCGCCACACAGTGGCTTCATCAGTCCATACAAAGGAGAATCTTGAAGAACAGGAGAATGAGGTAATCAGTCCCTCAACCTTGAGTCGATGTGGTCAGTCCATCAATCTTGAATAGAATACGGCATACGTGCTGAGAAGGAGCTTATAAACCGTTGGCAGGAGAGGTGCAGAAGTCATAGGTCGTGTAACATTTGATCAATGTTGAAGTAGGTCGTGCCCAAGAATTAGGCAAGTGGACTGACCACATCGACTCAAGGTTGAGGGACTGATTACCTCATTCTCCTGTTCTTCAAGATTCTCCTTTGTATGGACTGATGAAGCCACTGTGTGGCGAAACGTTTCCTCAATAAAGATACCCAAGAGTTGCACATGTGTCTAATTTATCATCAGGTACCAGTTGTTGAGCTCGCTGCGTAGGCTGGAAAGTTAGTTCTCTTACTGCCAAGCAGAAGAGAAGTGGAGCTAGTGGGTCACCCTGCTGAACACCTTCTGATGAGAGAATTTCATGTTCTCCAAACAAAAGAATTGAGGGTTTGCTGTAGCCGGCTGAAATAAAGGGAAAAAGACTGGGGAACCGATATCGAGCAGCTGGCAAGACAGCATCTCTCTTCACCATATGAAAGGCATTTCTAAAATCAAGTTTGACCCCAATGGAAATAAGTCACTCTGTCTGACTTTTTGGCTATCCTAGGTTCTCTACACATATGCTGCTATGTATGATAATTCTATGTAACTGTATCTGTGTGTACATGAATAAACTTACTTACTTACTTACTTAGCCTTGTCTTCTCCAAGCCAAATTGAGCTAACTCGATAAGGCGTTAACTTCGGTGTCCCTTAACAACCACCACCACAACAGCCAACAATAACAATAATAATAGTCAGCATGGATACTGCTACAAGCCTTCTCAACACTTTAGTAAAACTACCAAATTCCAGCCAGGAAGCTGAGACACTGCTAGAGCAAATTGTACCAAGTAAGGACTTGCTCTATAACACTCAAACCTGGTTATGCAGTCTCCTCAGAGGGGGTCTTGATGCCGGTGAAGGGTTGATCCAGTGAAGTGGAGCTGCCTTCCCTCTCCATGAATTGAACCTGATTGCTTCCCATTTCCCAGGCACTGTATGATCCCTACGGGTTTTGTGCTGCCCATGAAAGTAATAATAATGTCTTTTGAAGATTGAGACATGGAAATCTTGATTGAAGAAATGTTTCGCCACACACTGGCTTCATCAGTCCTGATGTAGAAAGGCGTAAGGAGAGGAGGAGTTTGAGGTAATCAGTCCCTCAGCCTGGAGTCGATGTGTTCAGTCCATCAATCTTGTAGACTGGACTGAACACATCGACTCCAGGCTGAGGGACTGATTACCTCAAACTCCTCCTCTCCTTACACCTTTCTACTTTGTTATTGGACTGATGAAGCCACTGTGTGGCGAAACGTTTCCTGAATAAAGATTTCCATATGTTGTATAAGTGTCTCAATCTTCAACTTGTCGGTTTTTCAAACCATTCATCACATTCATCAGTCTATACAAAGTAGAAAGGCGTAAGGAGAGGAGTTTGAGGTAATCAGTCCCTCAACCTGGAGTCGATGTATTCAGTCCATCAATCTTGTAGAAAGTACAGCATAGGGCCGTAGACATGGCTTATATACGGTTGTCAGGTGAGGCGAAGCAGGAGGAGGCGGGATCACAGTGGTACCATCCACTAGTCTAAGTAGGTCTTCGTCCAAAGATTGGACAAGTGTTGAAGAATTCTTTGTATCAAGATCCCATGATGTTGCAGTGTCTGACAGATGTGATAAAATGGCAGTAAACAATGAGGAGGGCTTGTAGCAAGAGTTTTAGAGAAATTAGAAAAAAGTGCTAAATGGCTTACTGGGCTTAGCATTTTCTTGTAAATACTGGCTTGGTAGCATCCTCAGCTCACACACTAAGGGACCAGGGATCGATCCCCGGCATAGGTGAAATGTTAGACATGTTTTCTTACATCTGCTGTCTCTGTCCCTGACAGTAAGTAGGTACCTGAGTGTTAGTCAGCTTGTGGGTCACACCGTGGGGGATAAAATTGAAAGGACCCCAAGGGAAATAAGATAGACAGTCTCCGATGATGCACTGATTATTAAGATACCCTGGGTACTAACCATCTGGGTTAAAAATCTGAACAAAATTTCATCCTATTTCTTTATCTCACTGTATGACCCTTGTAGGTTTAGCATTTCTGTTCATATAATAATAATACTTCTTATTCTTAATTATGTATATATTAGTGAAGAAAGTAATGTACTGTAATGTACTGAACTGTATTATACTGTAATGATCTGTATTGATCTGTACTGTGCTGTACTGAACTGTATTGTGCTGTACTGTAGTGTATTGTACTATTCTGTACTGTACTGTACTGTATTGTACTGTACTATATTGTACTGTACTGTACTGAACTGAACTTCACTGTGCCATACTCTATGAAAGATGGTAAGCAGACCCTAAGCAACAAAATGAAATTTGTCAAGGTTTGTCAAATGATGTTTGAAAATGTATTGAAATCATATTGTTATATAAGAGACTGCAACAAAAATTTGCTTTATTGCATGCTAAAATATAATTGGAATTTTAGGAATTTCAACAGGCAAGTTATCCCTGCATGAAGTTGTGGAAGCATTAGGCACAAGCTTAACACACAGCAACCCAGGAGACAGGGCAGCTGGAACCCGCTTTCTGGCTGATCTTCTACATTCCCTCCCAGCAGACCGTCTAAACTCACAAGAACTGTCTTTCTTAGCTGCATTTTTCATAGACCGACTGAAGGATCATCATTCTGTTATTCCTAGTGTCATTTATGCCTACATAGCTCTGGTAAGTCTGATTCAGTATATAATTGTGGACCTCTCAGAATTACAGTATATTTACTAAAGAAGGAATCCTTAGAGGAGGATTTCCTGTACAGTACATATTAATATTTGTTTTAATTTTTTTAAAGATGTACCAGTATATATAGAATGTTTTGGGTGGGGTAATAGGGATAATAGAGTATTATGTATAGTACAGTATAGTATATTTTTAGGGAACTATGTGTAGTATATTTTTGGTGGGTTGCATGATATATATTAGGGGAAACAGAGAACGTATACAACAGTATGGTATATTTTTAGCATAGTACTATATTTAATGTAGACATATTCCTGGCTTCACTCGAATGGACCCAAATGTTGTAATGCTGATAATGGTGAAGAAAAGACATGTTTACAGAAAGAACTTTTATTTGGACATTGTTTTTATCTGTTGTGTTTTATGGCAGGAAGGGAAGAGGTGAGGTGAGGGAAATCATTGCTGCGTGATGAATTATTAAAAAAGATAAAAGATAAGGTTTATTTCTTTGTAAAGGTTACAATGTGTAATTATTGGTCTGTAGAATATGCCTGGAAGTACCCTGGACTAATATATTGAAATACTGTCTTCTTTCTGGACTTTATGTTTGCTGTATTCCTGAACAACTTTTATGTCAAGAATGTCTTTGTAATATAGTGCATACCAGTGGTATATCCTAGAGGAATGTTACAGTCACTCATGTATGTGAGCATACTTTTGCTGGAGAAGTGCATGATGTCAGGTTTCTATTGTCTTCCAGGTGGAGCAGATTCAGTTGAGTGTCTGCTCTAGGTTCCTTTTCTGACATTTGTTGACCCAGGAGACTAACATTCTTGTGTATTCTGCCGTGCATTCACTGATCTTACTATAGAGGCAAAGTCCAATTTTCTAACTTTGTGAAAAGCTCCTTGCTCACATTCATGAGTTGCTATGACATACATGTAGCTCTTTTTTTAATCTTCCATACCTAAACTACATACAGTGGACCCTCGGGTAACAATGTCATTGGATAGCGAAAAAATCGGATAGTGACCCGTTTTTGCATCAAAATGTTGGCTCTGTTACCGAAAACAACTCGGTTGAGGACATTCGTCCCAAACGTGTCAGCGCAGTGTGAATGGCCTGGACACTCGATGTACAGCCAGTGTGCCATTGTTTACAAGCCAGGGAGGACGATTCCATGCATATTGTGATATATTTTGTATTATTCCATTGTTTTTAGTGCTTGTAACTGTTAAATAAGCCACCATGGGCCCAAAGAAAGCTTCTAGTGCCAGCCCTGTGGTAAAGAGGGTGAGAAACACTATAGAATTCAAGAAAGTTTGTAGAAAGATACGAAAGTGTCAGTGGTAGAGGGTGGTAGTGATGGTTGCAGAGGGTGGTAGTATGGGCCAACAGGTTTGCTGCAGTGTTCCTGTTTTCTTATGTACACCAGCGAGGATACTTCCCACACACCAGCCAGGGAACTTCCCCACATACCAGCCAGGGTACTTCCCCACATACCAGCCAGGGTATTTCCCCACATACCAGCCAGGGTACTTCCCCACATACCAGCCAGGGTACTTCTCCACATACCAGCCAGGGTACTTCCCCACATACGAGCCAGGGTACTTCCCACACACCAGCCAGGGAACTTCCCCACATACCAGCCAGGGTACTTCCCCACATACCAGCCAGGGTACTTCCCACACACCAGCCAGGGTACTTCCCCACATACCAGCCAGGGTACTTCCCACACACTATACAGGGAACTTCCCCACATACCAGCCAGGGTACTTCCCCACATACCAGACAGGGTACTTCCCCACACACACGATTTGATTTGACTGGGACTTGCGCATGAATGAATAGAATTATCAGTGTTCGCATCGCTATTCGGGCCGTGTGGACCTGCTGCGCAGTAGCTCCTGATTGAGTTGGCTTTTGCGCAGTGTTGACGTGTACTTAGCTCTGTGAAGACCTGTTTGCGCGCTCTCTACGAACTGAAGCAAGATGCCCTCCATCGAGCAACTTTACCAACAGCTTAAGGAAGAATTGAGGATAGCGAAGTTGGAGATTCGGCGACTGACCGAGGAAAACAAGAAGATTCGTAGTAATCCTCCTGTTTTGAGTCCTCAGGTCAAGAAGGGAAACTGGTCAGTGGCTAGACAGCAGGGAACGAAGTTGACGATCAAGAAGACGAATGGAAAGATAGAAACGATGAAGAAGAAAGAGACTGCCGTGGAAACTGTTGTGGAAACATCTAATACATTCTCAGTGCTACCCGACGAATGTGAGTCGACTACTGGGAACGTCACGACAAACGACATTAAGGAAGGTAAGAATATTGTTGTTGTTGGGGATAGCCAAGTTAGGTATATGGATAGGGCGTTCTGCTTGAAGGACAGGAGTAGGAGACAGAGAGTTTGCTTTCCTGGGGCTGGGATGGAGGATATTGTTAGCCGTCTGGATGACATCATGAGAGGTAATGGGAGCAATCCTATTATCTGTCTCAGTGCTGGAGGCAACGATGTTGGCAGACGTAGGAGTGAAGACCTGATTAGCAGGTATAGTCAGCAATAGAAATATTAGGAGTAAGGGTGGGAACCCTGTCATATGTGGTATTTTGCCAAGGAGAGGAGTTGGAAATGAATGGTTGTCCAGGGCAATTGGTGTCAATTGCTGGCTGGACAAATACTGTAAGGAAAATGCGGTAACATTCATTGACAACTGGGACCTCTTCTATGGCAGAAATGACATGTATGCCAGGGATGGGGTTCACTTATCTAGGTCTGGGGTGGTAGCACTGGCAACTGCAGTGGAGGGAGCAGTTAGGACTTTAAACTAGGAATAGTTAGTGGTATGGGTTTTGGCAGGAAAACAGTGAAGTCCCAGTGTAGTAATATTACGAGTTCTAGGGGACTAGTAATAAGCAGAATGAGGTAGATATTGAAAAGCCAGGGACTTTGGGTGATAAGGACAGTAATAGGTTTAGTAGAAAAACAGAAATGAGCAGGAAGGGTAAAGAGAAAGGAGAGTCTTTCAATGTTTATTATGCTAATTGCCGTAGTGCTAGGAATAAGATGGACGAGTTGAGATTAGTTGCTAGTGCAGGTAACATTGATGTATTTGCCTTTAAATGAGACGTGGTTTAATTCAAAAAGTCGGGACATGCCTGCGGAATGTCATATTCAGGGTTTTAAATTGTTCCAAGTAGATAGAAGTATCGGGAAGGGGGGTGGGGTGGCATTGTATGTCCGAGATCGCTTGAACTGTTGCATAAAAACGGGTATTAAGTCTGAAGTAACACATACAGAGTCTGTTTGGATAGAATTTTCAGAGGGGCATGAAAAACTGATTTTAGGAGTGATATACTGTCCCCCAAACTTAGATAGGGACCAAGGGAGACTACTATGGGAGGAAATTGTTAAGGCCACAAGGCACGATAATGTAGTAATTCTAGGAGACTTTAACTTTAGTCATATTGATTGGAATTTCTTGACTGGGAATTTAGAATCATACGACTTCTTAGAAGTAGTTCAGGATTGTTTTTTGAAGCAGTTTGTGACAGAACCTACAAGGGGAAATAACCTGCTTGACTTAGTTATGGCAAACAATGAATCCCTTGTTAATAATTTAGAAATTTCAGAGGAACTGGGTGCTAGCGACCACAAATCAATTACATTTAGCATTGAATGGAAGTACGATAGTAGCGATAACTCAGTAACAGTCCCAGATTTTCGCTTAGCAGATTACGATGGGCTTAGAGAACACTTATCATCTGTTGACTGGGGTAATGAAGTGAGATATCAATATGACAGTTTTCTGAACACTATGCATGCTGCTCAAAGAACGTTTATCCCATATAAAGAAATTAGATCAAATAGAAATGACCCAAAATGGATGAATAATAGGCTCAAATATCTACTAGGGCATAAGAAAGGAATTTATAGGTGTATCAAAAGAGGTGAGGATCATCTTATGAATCAGTATATTGACATTAAGAGGGACATTAAAAAGGGGATAAGAAAAGCTAAAAGGGACTATGAAATTAAAGTTGCTAGGGATTCTAAAACTAACCCAAAATTTTTTTCCAGGTCTATAGAACAAAAGTTAGAGATAAGATAGGTCCCCTTAAAAATAACTATGGGCACCTTACTGACAAAGAGAATGAAATGTGCTCGATTTTTAATAATTATTTTCTCTCAGTTTTTACACAGGAAGACACTAACAATATTCCAGTAATTAATTTTTATAGTGGGCTAGAAGAAGATAAATTATGTAACATCACAGTTACTAGTGAAATGGTTGTGAAGCAGATAGACAGACTGAAGCAAAATAAGTCGCCGGGTCCTGATGAGGTTTTTTCAAGGGTTCTTAAGGAATGCAAAATGGAACTCTGTGAACCATTAACTAATATTTTTAATTTATCTCTTCAAACAGGTGTAGTGTCTGATATGTGGAAGATGGCTAATGTAATTCCTATTTTTAAAACAGGGGACAAGTTGTTACCGTCAAATTACCGCCCAATAAGCCTGACCTCAATTGTAGGCAAATTACTAGAGTCAATTATAGCTGAGATTATAAGAAGCCATCTCGATAAGCATAGCTTGATTAATGATACTCAGCATGGATTCACAAGAGGCCGGTCATTTCTAACTAATTTATTACCTTTGTTCAGTAAAGCTTTTGAGGCTGTTGACCACGATAAAGAATTTGATATTATTTACTTAGATTTTAGTAAGGCTTTTGATAGAGTTCCGCACCATAGACTGTTAAAGAAAGTGGCAGCTCATGGCATTGGGGGAAAAGTGCTCTCGTGGATCGAGTCATGGCTCACTGACAGGAAGCAGAGAGTGTTCATAAATGGGGCTAAATCCGAGTGGGGATCTGTAACAAGTGGCGTTCCACAGGGATCAGTCTTGGGCCCGTTGTTGTTTATAATATATATCAATGATCTTGATGAGGGAATTACTAGTGATATGAGCAAATTCGCCGATGACACAAGGATAGGTAGGATAATTGATTCAAACGTAGATGTTATGGAACTTCAGGAGGATTTAAACAAACTCTATTCTTGGTCAGAAAAGTGGCAGATGCAGTTCAATGTAGATAAATGCAAGGTTCTGAAGCTTGGAGTGCCCATAACCCTAGTACTTATAAGTTAAATGATGTAGAACTTAGCCATACAGATTGCGAAAAGGACTTGGGGTTATGGTGAGCAGCAACCTTAAACCAAGACAGCAATGCCTAAGCGTACGTAATAAGGCAAATAGATTACTGGGATTTATATCAAGAAGTGTAAGCAACAGAAGTCCAGAGGTCATACTGCAGCTTTATACATCATTAGTAAGGCCTCACCTAGATTATGCAGCTCAGTTCTGGTCTCCATATTACAGAATGGACATAAATTCGTTAGAAAACATTCAGCGTAGGATGACTAAATTAATACATAGCATTAGAAATCTTCCTTATGAAGAAAGATTGAAGACTCTTAAGTTACATTCACTTGTTAGACGAAGAATGAGGGGAGGACCTGATCGAAGTGTATAAGTGGAAGATATGTATTAATAAAGGGAATATTAATAAGGTCTTGAGGATGTCTCTCCAAGAGAGAACCCGCAGTAATGGATTTAAATTAGATAAGTTTAGATTTAGAAAGGACATAGGAAAGTATTGGTTTGGAAATAGGGTAGTTGATGAGTGGAACAGTCTACCTAGTTGGGTTATTGAGGCTAGGACTTTGGGTAGTTTCAAATTTAGGTTGGATAAGTACATGAGTGGGAGGGGTTGGATTTGAGTGGGACTTTCACATCAGAGCTTATTTCTTGGGTGGCATTGAAAATTGGGTTGGGCAAATGTTTTGTTAGTGGGATGAATTGTAAAGGACCTGCCTATATGGGCCAACAGGCCTCCTGCAGTGTTCCTCCTTTCTTATGTTCTTATGTACTTGGGAAGCATTGAAAATTGGATTGGGCAAATACAATTCTGTTTGTGAGATGGTTTTTGAAGAACCTGCCTAGTATGGGCCAACAGGCCTACTGCTGTGTTCCTGCTTTCTTATGTGCAAACATTTATGAATGAACATCACCCTGACACAGCTGTTGCAGTCCGTGCTGGCAACACCTGCAGTGACAATGTTGTGTCCCATTTTAGGGAAATCTTAAAGAGACGCCAGAAACAGAGCTCTCTGGACAGATTTTTGGTGTGACAGGGGTCCAGTGATGCTCAAGCTGGTCCTAGTGGCATTAAAAAACAAAGAAGGGAGGTAACCCCAGAAAAGGACTTGTTACCTGAAGTCTTTATGGAAGGGGATTCCACTTTCAAACAATTGCAAACTCCTCCATGCTCTACCCTCTTCCTATCTCATCACTCATCAATACATCTTCAGTAAATGTAAGTGTCATTTCAGTATTGTTTATTCTGCATGTCTCATTGTTTCTGTGTAGGGAAATGTATATTTCATGTAAAAAAATTATTTTGTTTAATAATTTTGGGTGTCTGGAACAGATTAATTGGATTTCCATTATTTCTTATAGGGAAAATTAATTCGGATAACAAAAAAATCAGTTGAAGACAAGCTCTCTGGAACGGATTATTGTTGTTACCCAAGAGTCCACTGTACTTACATGCCAAACCTTTGGCACACACTGTATTATAAGGACAATCTTGGCATTAAAGTTGTACAGGAATGGTCAGACATACATAGTCCAGAAACCTGACAGCATTTCAACATAACTGCCTAGTGTACCTCCTGAAGTACTCGACAGGGCCACAGTTTATCACACTCCAGTGATTTCACTCGCCTCACCTCTTTCTCTCCATTCAGCGCACACATGTGTGTGAAGTTTGTGTCCATTCTGTGACTTGATTAAGACCCTAACATCAAAACTTTGTTCCAGTAAAAGCTCTTTCTGCAAATGTATGTTTTTCACCATTTACACAAGATGTATTCTTGAAAAAGACTTGTGTAATGTCAATCTGTATTGTGTTTCATGTCATATTGCTGAGTAGCTGACATATTTGTTCTTTATATTAATGATCATCTGTGTCTTTGATTAGCAAGGATGCAAGTTACACTAAGGGCAAAAGATTAATATAAGACTTGATAATACAGGAAGTCCCCACTTATACAGCAGGTTAGGCTCCAGACTATTGCTGCAAAGTGAAAATCGCTGTAAAGTGAAACAGCCTTTTTTTTTTTTTCACTTTCGAATGCATATTCAAGCCTTATAACATGTTTACATTATAATATGTATATTAAGTGAGCAATAGATCTAGGCTTAAAAAATGCATAAATATAGTACTCACATTACTTATCTTAGAATATTTTTGTACTTATAATGTGTGGCGAATACATATATTTATTGTAGGAAATCTGAATAAATGAAGAATGGGTATACGTAATTTTGAAAACTGCTGCATTAGTGAAACGTTGTAAAACACTCTTTCTCTAAAAAAAATACCAGTGATTAGCTACTGTAACATTTTTCAAAGCAGAATATAATTTTATGCAGAACATTACATTAAAGAATAGAACAATTATCTTGAAAAAACATTCACTGTTCACAATTACTGCTCTTGATATAAGGAAGTGAACCTGTCCTCCCCTGCCTTGGATTGAATCTGACTGTCTCCCATTCCTTATGTGTTGTATGACCCCTGTGGGTTTAGTGCTCCCCCACATTACAGCAATAATAATAATAATCACTGTTTTATCATGTCTGTATAAGTGGAATGCTGTAAGGCAAAATGCTGTAAAATGGAGCCCTACAGTACATATGTACATCTATAGCCACTTGAGATACAACATAAAGCTACTAATTAACTTTTGTGGGTTGAAGTCATTTATGCTAGTGTGGAGCATTTTATACCTAGGTTATGAAGCAATTAAGATGTATTATTAGTGCTCTGGGTATTTTGCTAGTGGGGTGATACTTCCCAGTATGAAGGTACTATATAATGAAAAACAAGTTGCTTCTGGACTTCATTCATTTTTTCCCCACAATGCTTTGCAGCCTTTTTGAGTATGTGCCATTCTTTTACCCTGTGAAGAATAGAACAGGGTAAGGATGACAAAAGGATCTAGGCTCTTCCTTCAGTTCATTGACCTTATGGGATCTTTTGATCTGACTCACTGTCCCTGATTTGTTGCAAGAAAATATATTATGTCCAGCAAATACCCCAATGTTCACTGTATTATATGTCATGCATGTTTGCAGGTGAAGCAGAAGAATATCAAGAGAGAGGATGTTATAAGCCTGGTACGAGGATTGTTCCGTGAGGTACATTGTCAGTCACAGATCATGTCTGACAGAAGAAACATCTATACTTTTCTAAAATATTGCCTAGTAAATAAATTAGAAGGCAAGTATCATTCTCTTGTAGTTCACTTTAATTATTATGAGGTTTATGTAAATAGATTATTAATTTTACACATTAACTTATTTAATGAAGGAAGAGAGTTTGTTATTACTAAACAAATTGTTATGAAAACAGTCAGCTACCCCTTTGTTAATTATGGTACAGTACTTAGTTTCAGTGTAGATGAACCGACAAGTTGATAAATTAGATGCATGTGCAACATTTGGGTATCTTTAATGAGGAAACGTTTTGCCACACAGTGGCTTCATCAGTCCATACAAAGGAGAATGGTGCAGAACAGGAGGAGTGTGAGGTAATCAGTCCCTCAGCCTTGAGTCGATGTGATCAGTCCATCAGTCTTGAAAAGAATACAGCATATGTGCGATGAAGTTGCTTATACAGTGGACCCCTGGTTAATGATATTTTTTCATTCCAGAAGTATGTTCAGGTGCCAGTACTGACCGAATTTGTTCCCATAAGGAATATTGTGAAGTAGATTAGTCCATTTCAGACCCCCAAACATACACGTACAAACGCACTTATATAAATACACTTACATAATTGGTCGCATTCGGAGGTGATCGTTATGCGGGGCTCCACTGTATACTGTAGGCAGGAGAGGTGCAGCAGTCGTAGGTGGTATCACATTTAACGAATGTGGAAGTAGGTCATACCCAAGGGTTAGGCAAGTTGAAGAATTCCCTGTATTAAGATCCCAAGATGTTGCTGTGTCAGACAGGAAAGTAGATGAATGGTTCATAGAACTGACCATGCAATAAGTTTATTCAATAATTACCCTTGCTGTTCATCTACATTCATTTATATGCAGGTGTCTGGATAGTAATTTGAGTGGAACTTTGCTTTATTATCCATAACTTACTGGTAGACCAATGGATTAGAGGAAAATTCAGATCAAACGGCTAACACATTCTTTCAGATAATTTCGGGAATTTTTATTTTTCGTCTTTATAAAGAATTTTTTTTATACACTGGCTGTATCCCACTGAGACAGGGTGACCTAAAAAGAAAAACAATTTTTTGTTTTTAAATTTCATAATTTTTACAGGAGAAGGGGTTGCTAGCCCCTTGCTCCTGGCATTTTAGTTGCCTCTTATGACACGCATGGCTGGGGAAGGATTTTTCTCCACTCTCCCATGGAGACAGTCCAGATATTAAAAAAATAAAACATCACACTTCTTTTTAAGAATGTAAACTTTTCATTCAATAGATCTTCTTTTTTCAACAAACTGGCCGTATCCTACCGAAGCAGGGTGGCCCAAAAAGAAAAACAAAAATTTCTCTTTTCAACTTTAGTAATGTATACGGGATAAGGGATTACTATCCCCTTCCTCCCAGCATTTTAGTCACCTCTTACGACACACATGGCTTATGGAGGAAGAATTCTGTTCCACTTCCCCATGGAGATAACAGAAAATAAACAAGAAAAAGAACTGGTAAGTAAGAAAATAAAAGAAAACCCAGAGGGGTGTGTATGTATATGCTTGTACATGCATGTGAAGTGTGACCTACTAAGTGTAAGTATAAGTAACAAGACGTACCTGAAATCTTGCATGTTTATGAGACAGAAAGAAAGACACCAGCAATCCTACCATCATGTAAAGCAATTAGAGGCTTTTGTTTTACACTCCCTTGGCAGGACAGTAGTATACCTCCCTGGGCAGTTGATATCCATAGAAATATCCATGACATATCATATTTAATTCATTTTAAATTAAACCTTTGAATAAGAGTGCCCATGAGGTTAAATAGAATTTTTTTTTTTCAATAAGTCGGCCATCTCCCACCGAGACAGGGTGACCCAAAAAAAGAAAGAAAATCCTCAAAAAGAAAATACTTTCATCATCATTCAACACTTTCCCCTCACTCATACGTAATCACTGTTTTTGCAGAGGCACCCAGATACAACAGTTTAGAAGCATATATAAAGATAAATAACATATCCCTCCAAACTGCCAATATCCCAAACTCCTCCAATTTTTAAAATTGAAATTTTTCTGAAATTAAAAAAATTTACTGCACAAGCAGTATTCTTTCGAAGAGGTATATCACTATATTATGTTGTAAAACATACAGTTTCACATCTATTTAGTTGTAAAGTATTTTTCAATTTCCTTGTCTCAAAGTTTATAAAAGACTTAAATCCTTGGTTCTGTTATCATAACAGACCTTGGAAAATGATGACATATATGACATGTATATGTTCTTACATTTCATCATCACTTTATGTGCCATTTAATATATCCTTTTGCATCTGATGCATAGACCGGAGATGATATTAGATATTGTTTCAGTATGTCCTGAACTGCTACCAGGTTACATGCTAATAATCCAAAACAGCCTGCAACATCACTAAGCAAGCTTCATCTCCAGTTTGTGGGGTAGTTGTGAATTGTTTCAATCATAGTATTGTGATATATTTTCCACTTTCATGGATGGTGAGGCAAGCATGTGTCCTTGAAGTGTGAAGAAGACAAGGTTACATGGCTCCCTTAACCTTTTCTTCATTTCTTTCATTAGTGGTTATTCAGTACCGTTAGCACCACTGTATAATGAGTGGTGAGGATGCCATATTTCTATGACTGCATTTATTCCATTCTATTTCTTTGTAAAGATATAAAAATATAGCTATTTTTTGTTGTTGTTTGACAGATGTGCAAGAACTTGGCCAAGACTTTGTTCTGGGGTTTATCTCTGCAATGGATGGAGAAAAGGATCCACGGAATTTGGTGCTACTTTTTACTACAGTGCCAATAATTGTTAAGTGCTTTCCTCTTGGACATTTCACCGAAGATATGTTTGAAGTTGTGGCTGCTTATTTCCCTATAGACTTTGTTCCAGTAAGTGAGACTGTTTTTTTTTTTTTTTTTTTTAAGTTGTGGCTGCATATTTCCCAAAGACTGTTCGAGTAAGTGAGATATTTTGGTTAATATGTGACTTAGGGTCTAGTACAACACCACCATTTATTGTCTGCCATACAATGATTTTCTTTTATTTGCCCTCAGTGTTTACATTGAAGCAGATAAGGGAGCAATACTTAGATAAAGGAACTTTTCATTGCATCTGTGCATTAAGAAAGGGCATATGATAGGGTGGATAGGAAGGCAGTGTGGCAGATGTTGCAGATGTGCATATTAGGTGATAGGCTACTTAAAGCAGTAGAAAGCTTTTACGTGGATAGCAAGGCACAGGTTAGGGTATGTAGGAGAGAGGGAGATTATTTTCCAGTAAAAATAGGCCTTGGCCAGGAGTGTGAATGTCACCATGGTTGTTAAACATATTTATAGATTAGAAGTATGTGGAAGGGTTTGGGATATTAACAGTTTGGAGAAACATCTAAACTGTGGTACCTGAGTGTCTCTGCAAAGACAGTGATTATGTATGAGTGATGGTGAAAGTGGCCTTGTGGCTAAAGCTCTCGCTTCACATGGCAAGGGTCCGGGGCTTGATTCCCGTCGAGGGTAGAAACAGTGCAGTACAGTACAATTTTTATTTCTTTGCAAGTTTACATTGAGATTCTTTAGTTACAATAATGAGTTGTAGGCAAAGACAGCCTGTCATGCCATGGCATTATGGGCAGACTAAATTAATAGCTTACAGACTACAGTACTTAAAACTAGAGAAATTGATCATAGTTTGTTTCAGTTGTATATCTGTTTCTATTTAAAACATACAATAAGTTAACTCAAGTTAAAATCTGGGGATATTACATTGGGACAATTTGAAGGTATTTTGTAGGTTGTGTATATCAATAGTAAATATTTAAGTTATATTATTATAGCGTTGGTGAAAGTAGTTTACAGCATGAGAATGCTACAATATCGTGTAAGGCAGTATAGTTTTGTGCAGGTATTTATACTACAATGTAGTATTAAGTTGTGTATGAACTTTTGGTATTTAAATTTTGAAGTGTTGAGATTGGGCATGTTTACACCGGTTGTCTATGTTTCCATCAATAAAATGGGTACCTGAGTGTTAGTCGACTAGTGTGGGTCACATCCTAGGGCAAAACTGACCTTATTTGTTCTGCATAACAAGAAGCTTTCTATATAGTAGTATGTCATTGATGTCAGCTAGGCCTGTATACCTTGTACATGTACTTGTAGAAATAAAGATATTATTCTTTCTTTCTTTCAACACACCGGCCATATCCCACCGAGGCAGGGTGGCCCAAAAGGAAAAATGAAAGTTTCTCCTTTTACATTTAGTAATATATACAGGAGAAGGGGTTACTAGCCCCTTGCTCCTGGCATTTTAGTCGCCTCTTACAACATGCATGGCTTAACTCAAGAAATCGTAATGACACGATTGCAAACAAACCATACCCCCGGCCGGGATTGAACCCGCGGTCATAGAGTCTCAAAACTCCAGCCCGTCGCGTTAGCCACTAGACCAGCTAGCCACAATAAGATTCATCCAACTAGGTATATTTCTACACCATAGGAAGGTTAGCACAGGCACCACTGTGACCACAAATGCAAGTTTTTACAGACGAATCTCCAGCTAGCGTGGCCGTGACGAACTCTAGCTCAAGTCCCTTCACTGCCGTCAACATGACTCAAGAAATCGTAATGACACGACGGGCTGGAGTTTTGAGACTCTATGACCGCGGGTTCAATCCCGGCCGGGGGTATGGTTTGTTTGCAATCGTGTCATTACGATTTCTTGAGTCATGTTGACGGCAGTGAAGGGACTTGAGCTAGAGTTCGTCACGGCCACTCTAGCTGGAGATTCGTCTGTAAAAACTTGCATTTGTGGTCACAGTGGTGCCTGTGCTAACCTTCCTATGGTGTAGAAATATACCTAGTTGGATGAATCTTATTGTGGCTAGCTGGTCTAGTGGCTAACGCGACGGGCTGGAGTTTTGAGACTCTATGACCGCAGGTTCAATCCCGGCCGGGGGTATGGTTTGGTATGCATGGCTTACGGAGGAAGAATTCTGTTCCACTTCCCCATGGAGGTAAGAGGAAATAAACAAGGACAAGAACTAGAAAGAAAACCCAGAGGGGTGTGTATATATATGCTTGTACATGTATGTGTAGTGTGACTTAAGTGTAAGTAGAAGTAGCAAGATGTACCTGAAATCTTGCATGTTTATGAGACAGAAAAATGGACACCAGCAATCTTCTCATCATGTAAAACAATTACAGTCTTTCGTTTTACACTCACTTGGCAGGACGGTAGTACCTCCCTGGGCGGTTGCTGTCTACCAATCTACTACCTATAAAAGATATTGTTATTATTATTTTTTTTTTTTTAACAAGTCGGCTGTCTCCCACCGAGGCAGGGTGACCCAAAAAGAAAGAAAATCCCCAAAAAGAAAATACTTTCATCATCATTCAACACTTTCATCTCACTCACACATAATCACTGTTTTTGCAGAGGTGCTCAGAATACAACAGTTTAAAAGCATATACGTATAAAGATACACGTATATCCCTCCAAACTGCCAATATCCTTTATTGTATTATTATTATTATATCATTATTATGATGATGAAGGTTTTTTTCTTTCTTTTTGGGTTTTTCTTTCTTTTTTTAGTCACCCTGCATTGGTGGGAAATGGCCAACATGTTAAAAAAAAAAGTATACCAAAAGACAACAGCTCTGTTCATGTCACATACAGCTGTCACACAAATGCATGTACAATACAGTCTCTCCTCATTTAACGATGGAGTTCTGTTCCTAAGAGTAGGTTGACAAATGAATTGGTTGTTAAATGAGGAGCATACTATACTGGTAATGGGTTTGTGTCAATCATCTTTAGGTATTGTTTTAATGTCACCTTTGCACCATTTATAACATTTTTAGTATATTTTTAAATGTTTATATAGTAGCATACTGTATATTGTAATAAACAGAATAGAGGAAATCAGTTCTAATATACATTACTTAGGTATGCATAATGGTCAGAGAGCTGGTCGTAAATCCGAGCTGTTGTTAAATAAGTACGTTGTTAAGTGAGGAGAGACTGTATTTAATTCAGAATTGTGTGAATGATTACTTGTTCTGTGTACATGTGTAAAGCTAGTGAGCCATGCACTTGTATAGCTTTAATGATTTTCCCTCCACCAACAAACCAACCTATCTTTGGACAGAAGTGTGCACATTATGAACCTGTGAATACGTAACTCTCCTAGGTAGTAGGTTGATAGACAGCAACTGCCCAAGGAGGTAATACTATCCTGCCAAGTGAGTGTAAAACAGAAGTCTGTCATTGTTTTACATGATGGTAGGATTGCTGGTGTTTTATTCTGTCTCATAAACATGCAAGATTTCAGGTACGTCTTGTTACTTCTACTTACTTTTAGGTCACACTGCACATGCATGTACAAGCATATATATACACACCCCTCTGGGTTTTCTTCTATTTTCTTACTAGTTCTTGTTCTTATTTCCTCTTATCTCCAGGGGGAAGTAGAACAGAATTCTTCCTCCGTAAGCCATGCATATCATAAGAGTCGACTAAAATGCCTTGAGCAAGGGGCTAGTAACCCCTTCTCCTGTATACATTACTAAAGTTAAAAAGAAAAACTTTTGTTTTTCTTTTTGGGCCACCCTGCCTCAGTGAGAAATGGCCAGTTGGTTGACAGAAAGAAAGAATACATAATTACTGACTATTTACTCCCTTCCTCCACCCTAGTGCCAAGTCCCAACTTAGTATCTACGTGACCCAGTTTTGTCTCACTGGATGTTTATTTTCTTTTGACTTTGATCAAGACATTTAAATGTAAAACCAACCATAGGATTTTGTTTAACATACTATAGAATTTCCAAAATATGATTTCTTTCTCTTTCTTCTTCTAAATGTGAGTATAAACCATTTTTGAGAGGTGTTTAAGGATCTATGATTAAAACATTAAGTGGTGCTATATATAATAGTATATTACTGATAGAATTATGTTACTGCATGAAAGGAAAACTACATAGAGAGAGGCGATACCTGTTTTTATTTTTAGGAATATCATTTGTATCCTTTGTAATAATGATCTGCATGTTGAAGATTGTTGACCTGACCTTAAATTTTAACTTTCACTTGACAATTTTTATTGACCTTTCCTATACATGTAATTCATTTTCAATTACAAATATTTAAAAATGTAGGAAGTTACAAGACAGCTTATTTGTGAAAATAATTGTTCATTATATTTTGCTAGCCAGCTAGTGATCCCTATGGCATCTCATCAGAAGACCTGGTGCTGAGTTTGAGGTGTGCCTTATCATCCACACCACTGTTTGCTCCCTACTGTGTACCTCTTCTCCAAGAGAAGCTTGATTCAGATGTCATCTCTGCTAAACTGGATGCATTACATACTTTGGTGAGAAGATTGGAGCAAAACCATTCAAGGCTTTTGTTTCTTAAATAAGCTAAATGTGCACTGTGGTTTTGGTCTTTGGAGGAACAACAGAAAGTCATTGTTCCTGTTCCAAAATTAAGTGAAGTATACAGATTATAGCACTTCATTTATAACATGAGTTATGTGTAGGATGGTTGGATTTCTGGTGTCCTTTTTTCTGTCTCATAAACATGCAAGATTTCAGGTACGTCTTGCTACTTCTACTTACACTTAGGTCACACTACACATACATGTACAAGCATATATATACATATCACTTTGGGTTTTCTTCTATTTTCTTTCTAGTTCTTGTTCTTGTCTATTTCCTCTTATCTCCATGGGGAAGTGGAACAGAATTCTTCCTCCGTAAGCCATGCGTGTTGTAAGAGGCGACTAAAATGCCAGGAGCAAGGGGCTAGTAACCCCTTCTGTATATATTACTAAATTTGAAAGGAGAAACTTTCGTTTTTCCTTTTGGGCCACCCCGCCTCGGTGGGATACGGCCGGTGTGTTGAAAGAAAGAAAGATTTATAACATAAGTTATATGTAGGATGGTTGAATTTCTGGTGTCCTTTTTTCTGTCTCATAAACATGCAAGATTTCAGGTACGTCTTGCTACTTCTACTTACACTTCGGTCAAACTAGACATACATGTACAAGCATATACAGTGGGCCCCCGGCTTACGTTATTATTTCATTCCAGAAGTATGTTCAGGTGCCATTACTGAACGAATTTGTTCCCATAAGGAATATTGTGAATTAGATTAGTCCATTTCAGACCCCCAAACATACACGTACAAATGCACTTACATAAATACACTTACATAATTGATCGCATTGGGAGCTGATCGTAAAGCGGGGGTCCACTGTATATACAAACCCCTGCGGGTTTTCTGCTATTTTCTTTCTAGTTCTTGTTCTTGTTTATTTCCTCTTATGCTTTGTTAGTGGGATGGATTGTAAAGGACCTGCCTAGTATGGGCCAACAGGCCTGTTGGCCCACTTCCATGGGGAAGTGGAACAGAATTCTTCCTCCGTAAGCCATGCGTGTTGTAAGAGGCAACTAAAATGCCGGGAGCAAGGGGCTAGTAACCCCTTCTCCTGTATAAATTACTAAATTTGAAAAGAGAAACTTGTTTTTCTTTTTGGGCCACCCTGCCTTGGTGGGATACGGCTAGTTTGTTGAAAAAAAAAATGAATACATGTATGTACAAATTTTCATATATATCCTGGGTACTCCTTTAAGTTATCAAATCAAATCAAGTTTATTCTCTATAAGGGTTACAATTTGGGGTTTACAGGATTTGGATATTGTGTGGTTTACATGCTATAAAGTACTAATTACAGAGGGGGCCACTAGGACACCTAGCATGGCTAGGCATTTCGGGCAGACTTAGATTAATTCTTAACATTAAATCCTTACAGATTATGGTATTAAGGCTAGGTGACTACATTATAATTTGTGAGTTTAGCAATGTGAATGCTTTTGTTTTAGCACAATACAAAGTGTCTATATTGGAGTATCATAGGCAAACTTATGACTAGTTAGGATTCATTATTTTAAGATTAAGATTAGTATTTCTGTGTTTATAGTCAGTGTTATATTTTCTGTATTACTGCTGACTAGTTTGAACTTAATTGCATAACAATAACCTTTATATAATTTGTCACTTGGAATGCCAACAGTGATAACAAACTGCCATACTCCAGCTTTCTTTATTTTTCTCATCTTAAAAAATATGTATCATGATTAACCCTTTCAGGGTCCAGAGGCCAAATTTCAAAGCGTGCACCAGGGTCCAAGAATTTACAAAAAAAAAAAATTTGTTATTTTTTCTTATGAAATGGTAGAGAATATTTTTCTGAAGGTAATAAAACAAAAAGTACGAAATTTGATGGAAAATTGACAAAATTATGCTCTCGCGAATTTTGATGTGTCAGCGATATTTATGAATCGGCGATTTTACCGAATTTGACTCCCATTTTAGGCCAATTACATTATTCCAGTCGGCCAAATTCTTAGCTATTTCACTAGTATTACTTCTATTCTATTGATTGAGCACAAGAAATCACCAAGTCAACTGTTTCAACTACAAAATAAAGTGATCGGAAATTGGTAATTTGGCCAATTTAACACAGTGTTTAAAATATTCCAATTTCAAAATAGGGTTCAGAATAAACAATGTAGGTTTTCCTGGCACTAAACTAACGTTTCCTCTGTTCATTAGTTATGTTTTGAGACTTTACAAATGAATTCCATTTTGATTTTTTATTCACATAATGAATTTTTATTCAAACCAAAAATAGAAGATTTACTGTTATGCAATATTGTAATAATTGTATAAATATCATCACCACATTTGTGAATGTATATTAGACCCACCAGCTGGCGTGTATTAGACATGTGAGGTCGTTTGTTTACATTTGAACATGGGCAAAAATTTAACATTTCCTCTACTTTAAGCTCGGTTTCAAGCCATTTCCAGTGCTAAAACCAATCAAAATCATCTCTATTTCTGCAATATGTCTTCCATTCTATCAAATAAGACCAAGAAATCACAAATACAACTATAAAAAACATACAAAAAAAAACACTGCAAAGTCGCTGTTTTAATCGAAAATCAGTCTCTTTTTTTCCTCTCATTATACACTGTGTGCTGCAGGATTTGTTTTATGTGGTGCACACATACCACATAGATGTATTCTCTCATATCTAGGCCCAAATTTACCACTCACAGCTTATCAGAGTGAGCTGAGCTCATGGCGTAGATCTACAGTTTGGACCCTCAACGTAAAGCCGTAGATCTACGGCACAGAACCTGAAAGGGTTGAAAGACAAGGGGTATAACTTTAGCATCTTGTATTGATAAAAAAGTTCATTTTATAACCAGTAATATAAAGTACTCAAGAAAGATAAAAAAAAAAATTAAGGAATATCCTAGGTAGTAGGTTGGTAGACAGCAACCGCCCAGGGAGGTACTACTGTCCTGCCAAGTGAGTGTAAAACGAAAGCCTGTAATTTTTTTACATGATGGTAGGATTGCTTCTATGTTCTTTCTAGTTCTTGTTCTTGTTCTTGTTTATTTCCTCTTATCTCCATGGGGAAGTGGTGTCAGCATAGTTGCTGATCCCCCTTACATGTGTTGTGTAGCTTAGCTAAGTATCATAGTACCATCCATGTGTTTATATAGAAGATCCCTATTAGGCCTAGTGACTGTATGACGTCACGGGATGTGGCATGAGTTAGTGGGATGCGCTACCTCGCTCTCAGTCCACGCGGAGACCTACACCAGGCAGTAACAGGCAGGCTGGCCCCTTCCTTACCGCAGTCTGACAATATATAGTATTACCATCCACAAGTGTGTTTTTCTTCAACCATCATATCTCATTCCGAACCCCCACGACAAATTGGTGGCAGCGGTGGGATTATGATACCATCCATTAGTTCTAAGTTATATATGTCTTTGTTATTGTATAGAATCAGCCCAGAACCACCTGCCTGTTCAGCCTATAGCATAGTAGTGTATGTCGAGATGACATACGTAACATGACCGAGCTGTCAGCATAGTTGCTGATCCCCCTTACATGTGTTGTATAGCTTAGCTGAGTATCATAGTACCATCCATGTGTTTATATAGAAGATCCCTATTAGGCCTAGTGACTGTATGACGTCACGGGATGCGGCATGAGTTAGTGGGACGCGCTACCTCACTCTCAGTCCACGTGGAGACCTACACCAGGCAGTAACAGGCAGGCTGGCCCCTTCCTTACCATAGTCTGACAATATATAGTGTTACCATCCACAAGTGTGTTTATCTTCAACCATCATATCTCCTTCCGAACCCCCACGACAGTGGAACAGAATTCTTCCTCTGTAAGCCGTGCGTGTTGTATGAGGCAACTAAAATGCCGGGAGCAAGGGGCTACTAACCCCTTCTCCCGTATAAATTACTAAATTTAAAAAGAGAAACTTACGTTTTTCTTTTTGGGCCACCCTGCCTTGGTGGGACACGGCCGGTTTGTTGAAAAAAGAAAAAAAAATTAAGGAATATCAAAGTTTAGATTAAAAATTAGTTATTTCATTAATGATATACAGTACAAACTAATTGATGAAAAAACATATGTGCAACACCCAGATATCTTTATTGATGAACTGTTTTACCAGCACAGCAGACTTTTATCAATCTAATACAGCGGTGACATTTATACTGGGACTGTGAAAGAAGTTAAGAGGTAATTTTAAAGTGCTCACTACCTTAGCCTTGATAGGTGTTTAATGCCTTATCCTTAATACATGTTCAGTCCCCTAGCCATGATGTATCCAAAGCAGAGGCATAAGTATGGAGACTTGTATACTGTAGCCAGAGAGGTGCATCAGGACTAACTAATGGAAGTAGGTCATACCCATAAGTCAGAGCAGTGGTTGGCTGGAACGGTGTTGCTTTTTCTGATAAGTGTCATTACCTCTCCTCTTCCACTGTCTCCAGTATTAGTATCACATCTATATTAGATTGGTTAAACCTGCTGCAAAGCTGAAATGTGTCTTATTTATTACCTAGATTACGAATGTGTAGGAAGTCACTACTTTTACTACAGGGTGAGTAACTATCAATATAGAAGGAACATTCTCTTTACTTATCCCAGGATAGTGTTTTCAAGTGTGTCAGCTGTATTTTATATTTGACTTTGCATGTCTTGAATTATGAATGCAAATAATTTTGTAGGTGACCTGCTGTGAGTTGTATGGAGCTGAAGACATCAGTCCACATGTATTACCACTGTGGGCCAGCATAAGACGAGAAATTGTTGAGGGAGTGAGTGATGAGGTTGAGGAAGCAGCACTCTCAGCTCTCACTGCTATAGTTATGACACTGCAGCGTGGAATAGTATCACAAGCCTCTCGAGATGAAACACGTGAGCTTACCAACTCAGCCTTAAGAGGTGAGTCAAAGTAAAGAAAAGAAATCCTAGTACTGTATGTATATATAATTCAGCAGTGTAAAAAAAAATAAAAAATAAGAAAACAAGGTGAGGGTTTCAAAATATTTTTTATAGGAGTATCAACATGAAAGTATTTCAATTTAGGTAAACAATGTCAGGAGCCATTGGTAGCAGAGAATCCTTTTAATATTGAGTTTCACTAAAGACTGGGCTTCAAGAATAGTGATATATAAGGTGAAACTTTGCAAACCAGTATTATAAAATTTGACAGAGCTTTTGTTTTTATTACCTTAATGGCCTTCTCCTACCAAGGCAGGTTGACTCAAAGCAAGAAAACAAACTGAAAAGCATTCATTCAATTTCTGTCTTTCCAAAGTGTGCTGGCATTTCAATTCAAATTACCCTCCGACTGCAACTTCCCTATCGCTCTTTCAGAATATAGACACTGCCCTTTCCACCTCCAGGACTCTAAATCCAGCTAACTAGTTTCCCTGAATCCCTTCATAAAAGGTACCTTTCTCACACTCCAATAGTGCATCCATTAACAAACCACTCATCTCCATTCACTCCTATCTCACATGTTCAAGTCCTTAAAATTCAAAACTTCTTTTATCCTTTCCTAACCATTCCTTGGATGAATTTTATAATGAGTAAATAATCTGGAACCCATCACACCTATACCAGTTGACTATAGGCCATGCATAATTGCATTTAGAGTTGGGATGGTGGAGATGCTGGAGGTAGGTGGTAGGAGTATTGCAGTAGTTGGTTTACTAGCAGTCCCTGACTTATAAATGACTGGGTTATCATGATCTGTACTTATGGATGAGATCTACAAGACTCATTATTGAGAAAATAATGCTGTGATAGTTTTATGAATGCCAGCCCGGAGTTATGAACAAGTGTGACATAATTATAATATCTACTGTATTATCATTATAAAAAAATGGGAAAAAGCTTACATTTTTTTTTCAGGTTGAAACCCTCTTAGTGCAACTCATTCAGAAGCTTAAGTCCCCCAGTACAGCACTGCAGATATGGATACTAATTTCCTGGTTATCTTGGTGCACTCATAATTGTGTTGATATATCTGCAGAGTGTGTGGGACACCTGACAGCACCAGAACAACGTCTGATGTTTCCAAGTGCTCACCTTCTTCTTGCTCTTGTTGTTGCTCATGAGGCTACAGCTCAAGCAGTGTGTGAAATGGTAATATTGAGTTTGGCAGTGCTTACTTTGGAATTAATGGTTGATGAAACCTTAGAGTCGTACAAGGAAGTTTTACATGAGATACCTAAACTGTTATTTGTTATTTTTTTCCTTTTTTAACACGTTGGCCATTTCCCACTGAGGTAGGGTGACTCAAAAAGAAAGAAAAACCCAAAAAAAAGAAAAAAAAAATTTCATCATTCAACAATTACACCATCACTCATACATAATCAGTGTTTTTGCAGAGGCACACACATATGACAGTTAGACATCCCTTCAAAATGACAATATCCTAAACCCCTCCTTTAAAGTGCAGGCATTGTACGTCCCATTTCCAGGACTCAAGGCCAGCTAACCAGTTTCCCTGAATCCCTTCACAAAATATTATCCGGTCCTAAGAGTAAGTCAGTAAACGAATTGGTTGTTAAGCGAGGAGCATACTCTACTGGTAGTGCGTTTGTGTCAACCATCTTTAGATATTGTTATAATGTTACCTTTGCACCATTTATAACATTTTTAGTATATTTTTAAATGTTTATACAGTAGTGTATTGTATATTGTAATAAACAGAATAGAGGAAATCAGCTCTAATACAGCCTCTTCTCACTTACCGACGTATTCGTTTACTGACAACTCAGAGTTACGACAGGCTCTCCGACAAGTCAGTATTGTATGCCGTACGAGAACTTGGGTCACAGAAATGGGCAGCACAGTGTCTCAGCGTCAAGCATTTCATCTCCTTCTTACAGCCACTCAGTACAAAGACTACATATTTGTACAAATTTGTACTTGATTGTGCACCCCATAGTACAAGACAGAAGTGCAGCAGCACTTGGAAGAGTAAAATGGAAGAAGTACAATAGAAGTTCACTGTAAATGGGTTAGTGATGGGTCTTAGTATCAAGCAGTCTCCAAGACTACATATTTCATCTGTAAATTTATACTTGATTATGCACCCCATAGTACAAGATAAAAGTGCAGTAGCACTTGGAAGTGGAAAGATAGGAAAATGGAAGAGGTATGAAAGAAGTTCACAATAAAGTGGTGTGTTCATCTTTGTTTACATTCTCGGTCTCTCGTGGCAGCTTAACCCTTTCAGGGTTTCTGACGTACTAGTACGGCTTACGCACCAGGGTTATTGACCTACTGGAACGCCTAAATTCTAGCGCCTTCAAATCCAGCGAGAGAAAGCTGGTAGGCCTTCATATGTAAGAATGGGTCTATGTGGTCAGTGTGCACGGTATAAAAAAAATCCTGCAGCACTCAGTGCATAATGAGAAAAAAAAAACTCTGACCTTGTTTTTGGTTTAAAACAGCGACTTTGCAGTGTATGGCGTTTATTGTTGTATTCTAGTTTTCCTGGTCTCATTTTATAGAATTGAAGACATATTACAGAAATTGAGATGATTTTGATTGGTTTCATAATGAAAAGTACCTTGAAATTGAGCTCAAAGTAGCAGAAATGTTCGATTTTTACCAAATTTCAAAAGTAAACAAATCATGCCAAGCATCCAGTACACGTCAACTGGTGAGTCTAATATTCTTTCACAAGTGCATTGATATTATTTATACCATTTCTACACTAATGCAGTAGTCTGCATAACAGTATATCTTCTACTTTTTCTGAGAATAAAAATTCAAAGTGGAAAGCAAAAGAGATGTAAGAGGGGCCTGGGGATGTGACTGATGAACAGAGAAAATGTTATTTTAGTGCCAGGAATGTCTCTCTTGCTTATTCTGGACCCTATTTGGAAATTGGCATCTTCTAAAATTTGTGTGAAATTGGCAAATTTGCCAATTTCTGACCACTTTATTGGATAGTTGAAATCGGTAAATAGGTGGTTTCTTGTACTCATTCGATAGAAAAAATGGAGTTCTAGTGATATAGATATGATTTTTGTCGACTGGTACACTGGAATTGGTCGAAAATAGGGCTCAAAGTGGGCAAAATCACCGATGCGTAAACATTGCCGAGACCGCTAACTTCGTGAGAGCATAATTCCGTAAGTTTTCCATCAAATTTCATACTTTTGGTGTCATTATGATTGGGAAAAGATTCTCTATCATTTCATAAGAAAAAATAATTTTTTTTTTCGGAAAAATTTTCGACCCTGAGAACAAGTTTAGGAGAGGGCCTCTCGACCCTGAAAGGGTTAATTATGAAACGATTAAACTCAGTGAAAAAGATATGTCGATGGTGATAACACTAATAATAATAAAATATAATTAATCACTCTGGGGCACTTTCAATATCATACGTATTTCATATAGTTTTTTAGCTGACATTTAAAGCACTCCAGAGCTATTGTAATTATTATTAATTATTATTACTACATTATTATTATTACATTCTCTGTGTCTCTCATGGCAGCTTAACAAATGATTAAACTCAGTGAACAAGGTATGTGGATGGTAGTAATAATAATTTTTTTTTTTTTTTTTTTTCAACAAACCGGCCGTATCCCACCAAGGCAGGGTGGCCCCAAAAGAAAAACGAAGGTTTCTCTTTTTAAATTTAGTAATTTATACGGGAGAAGGGGTTACTAGCCCCTTGCTCTCGGCATTTTAGTCGCCTCTTACAACACGCATGGCTTACGGAGGAAGAATTCTGTTCCACTTCCCCATGGAGGTAAGAGGAAATAAACAAGAACAAGAACTAGAAAGAAAATAGAAGAAAACTCAAAGGGGTGTGTATATATATATGCTTGTACATGGTATAAACCTTGGTAATAAATACCGACAAGTTGGTTTAGAAAGACACGTAAGCAAACACTATAACATATTTATTAGAAAACGTTTCGGTCCTGGGACCTTGATCAAGGTCCCAGGACCGAAACGTTTTCTAATAAATATGTTATAGTGTTTGCTTACGTGTCTTTCTAAACCATGTTTGTACATGTATGTGTAGTGTGACCTAAGTGTAAGTAGAAGTAGCAAGACGTACCTGAAATCTTGCATGTTTATGAGACAGAAAAAAAGGACACCAGCAATCCTACCATCATGTAAAGCAAATAATAATAATAATATGTAATAATAATAATCACTCTGGAGTGCTTTAAATGTCAGCTACCAAACCCATACAAAATATGTATGACATTTAAACCACTCTAGAGAGATTATTTATTATTTTATTATTATTATTATTCTTTCTTTTTTCTTTCAACACACCGGCCGTATCCCACCGAGGCGGGGTGGCCCAAAAGGAAAAACGAAAGTTTCTCCTTTAACATTTAGTAATATATACAGGAGAAGAGGTTACTAGCCCCTTGCTTCCGGCATTTTAGTCGCCTCTTACAACATGCATGGCTTAAGAAGGAAGAATTCTGTTCCACTTCCCCATGGAGATTATTATTATTATTATATTATTATTATTATTATTACACCTACCATCCGACTTACGACCTGCTCGACTTACGACCACTCGACTTATGACCGTGTTTTTTATGCCAAATTTCTGGGAAATAAGCAGCTATTTGTGTTGTACATAGTAAAACAGAAATACCAAAATTAAACAATAAAATAAAGTCATTACAAAAATGTTTTGTTGATATTCAGTAGTAAAGTTCGACTTACGACCATTTCGACTTACGACCGGTTTCTCGGAACCGAACTCGGTCGTAAGTTGGATGGTAGGTGTATTAGTATTTTATTATTATTATTAGGCTTTTATGCCTTACGAGAACTTGGGTCATGGAAACAGGCAGCGTGGTGTCTCAGCATCAAGTATATCTCAGTCTGCTTCCTACAGCCACTGAGTACACTAGCTTTCACTGTCTCTAAGACTACATATTTGTACAAATTTGCACTTTATTGTGCATCCCATAGTACAAGATGTTGGCAAAAAGGAAGATCTTGACTTCACCTCAAGGAAGTGCCAAGAAACAAAGGAAGGCTCTCAATCTTGAGGTGAAAATGAGGATTATAAACGAGTATGAAGCTGGTTAGAAAGTGCAAGTGATAGCTGATGGCTTGAAGCTGGTGCATTCTACCATTTCCACTATCTTGAAGGATAAAGATAGAGTAAGGCAGTGAAAGCATTGACAGGATTTCAAGCTAGTGGAAACATGATAAAGATGCCCAAATTAATAAAAACCGACATATATGGAGAGGTATTGGAGAGTGTGTGAGGCTGTACAAGAGAGAGAGAGAAGGCACTAGCAATGTCTCTCAGTAACTCATGCTTCACCATGATGTATGGACATGTAAGCTCATGGCACTATAAAATATTGTATAATTATACAGTGGACCCTTGTTTTTCGTAATTAATCCATTCCAGAGAGTGTGACTAATATCGAAATTGACAATTTGCGAAACTATTTTCCCCATAAGAAATAATGTAAATCCAATTACAGTAATCTGTTCCAGACACCCAAGAATATTAAAACAAAATAATTTTTTTTACATGAAATGTAGATGTATATACAGTAGGGCCCCACTTATACGGCGGGTTAGGTTCCAGGCTGTCGCCGGAAAGCAGACATCGCTGGAAGGCAGAACTCCATTATTTTTCCATTTATAAATGCATATAAATGCCAGACAACAAGTTTACACTAAATTATATTAAGTTAATAATAGAACTAGGCATTAAAAACACACAGTAAAATATAGTCACAGTAAATTCATTACTTATCTTAAAGTATTTGTAATCTTAATGTAGGAAGAGAGGTGAGTAGTACTTATTTGTAGGAAGTCAGGTGCAGGTAGCCCAGGTGTAGGTAGCACTGGCTCCCCGTCTCATACTTAATATACGATATTTAAAACATCCCAGAGAGGTAAAATGCACATACAGTACACTCATTATTTACCTTAAAATATGTGTAGTCTTAATATAGGAAGAGAGGTGAGTAGTATTTATTTGTATAAAGTCAGTGTAGGTAGCTGGTAGGTGTAGCCGGTAGGTGTAGCTGGGGCTACACCTACCGGCTACCTACGCTGTGGCCCAGAGCCATATTATTAACATCGACATGCCTTGTTCACTGAATTTAATCATTTCTAACAAC